CATGCTGTTCTGCCTCTGTACTTCCTGCCTGCTTATCCCAAGCCCTAGATCTGGGCCTGATACTCTGGGAGTGATTCCATTCGGGGCCCGCCCACTTAAACACACCTGCCTCCAACCCTGGGCATCGTTTCAGTGTCGGCCTGCCGTGGCAGGACAGGACTCCTGTCCCTGCGTGTGGCAGGTGCAGCAGTGTCTTAGGCCACTCGCTTTGCTAAGCTCACGCTCCTCGTGTTGCAGAGGCTTTGTTTTAGGTGCTATTGATAAGCTTGTCTTCTGAAACACAAAGAGTGCCTCTGTGTCGCTTTTACCGCCGCAGTCCCGCGCCGTCCCCGCAGCCCTTGGAGCACGAGACTAATTGTGTCATCAATGCGTGTAAACGTAGCTCTAGGCCCACGTTTATTCCTAAGAATATTTCTGTTGATTAATTTTAATTTTATGAGTTTTAGTAAACAATAAGAACAGGAAAAAAATCACCAAAACAAAGTATTGAGCTTTTAGCATTTATTGTTTATTGAAAAGCATCACAATGTGCATTTTAATGGTTGTTTTCGTTGCATAAAGTCTAAAAAGGAACATCAGAAAGAAGCTCTCGTATTACCTACAGCACGCTACGAAAAGCCGTCCTCGCTCTTCACCCGGAGGTGCACGCGCACGCGTCCCTTTCCAGCTCCTCGCGGGCGCGCGTGCTGCCCTTACCGTATTGTACGGTGTGCATCAGCAGGACCGTGAAATACCGCAACAGCGTGTATCGTTGGGTTCTGGTGTGCGCTTGGAACAGACACCAACGTTTTCACATCCGCGGTGTGCATCCTTACACAACCTGAAAGATTACATCGGAATAAAATCCTAGACGGCGTACAAGGAAATACCAGCAGAACTAAGCACAAGAAGCCCAGCTTCAACTACCACGCGCAAGGCAGCCTTCGGCGTGCACCCGCGTGTTGCGCGCACAGCAGTGGCGACGCGGGCCGCGCGGATGTGGGCTTCCTGTCCTTCCTCCCAGGACGCAGTGACCCCATTTTCCTGGTGCCGTCGCGGGCTTTGCGATGCTCCTCCTGCCGCGCCCCTGCCAGCCCCCCGCCGGTGCTCCTGTGTAGCTCCCGGGCAGCAACGGTTTGCTTTTCCTCCGCCATAAGGATCTCCTAGGAGTGCCGTCCCGTTCTCTAAGAACATTTCTCCTTGATGTTTTGCGCTTGTTATTTTCTTTGTCAAGCTGTTTATTTTGTCAAACTGTTCTCTTTTTTTGGTCCAAATTTACAGTAGAAAAGTAGGGGACGGGTCCCCTGGGCTCAGGCCTATGCCCCCAGGCCCGCCGTGGTGCTGTGACCCCGCCCGCCCGCCGTGAGCCACCGCTGCTCTTTCCCTCGCCAGCAGCCTGGTCTCTCCTCCCCTTGGGTTTGCAGTCCTGCCCTCTGTTCTTCCCTTAGCTTCCTGACTGGGCCGTGAGACAGCTCCTGCCCTGGGCCCACGTGTTGGCTGTCCAGTCCCACCCCATTCCTGTGGCAACTGGTCCCCTTCTTTGCCTCAAAGTAGCATCTTTCACCCAACTAGAGTGGGACGGCGCTTTGGTCTGCCTCAGCCTCCTCCTGTTTGACGCGCTCCTGCGCTCGTTGGACCTCATCTCCAGGGGTGTCCTGGCCCCCACCAGCTAAGGCATTGTTTTGCATGCCTGAAGTATTCTATCCTCCTATTCTCATGGTTTGGATAAATTTTAGTTTGGACATAATGCTTTTTCAGAAATCTGAAAACACTAGTTCCTAATGCTGATTTTGAGAAGTATGATGGGTCTCAGGTGTCCAGCTTTTTGGGTGATTTTGTTCTTTCCTTCTGGGCATTTTAAAATTGCCTCTGGATTCCCAGTGGTCTCGAGTTCCTGGACAATGTGTCTCGGGTTGTGTGGCCTTCCCAGTACGCATCATGCCGAAGAGCTGTAGATTAAAGCCTCGAACCTCCTCCTCAGTTCCAGGAAGCCCCTCAGTGGGATTTCTTTCCCCCTGGATTTTCCCTGTTAGACTTCTAGATCTGCACTTAGCATGTTGGAGCTACTGATTAGATACTTTAATGTTTAAAATCAATTTTCTCTTATTCTCCACACTGAGCAAATCATTCATCTTTACTATTTGTCTCTTTGGTTTTTATTGTATATTCAGGGAAGTTTTTAGAAAAAATATATTTCTGTTTCCTGTTTCACTCCTTATTTATTTGCTTGAGTGGTTGTCTTCTGAGAGGTCTACTTTGCTCCAGTGTCTGGCGACCTCCGTCATTCATAGGACAGACTCAATGACTTCCCATGAAAGGCTGGCTGGGTTTTGGGGGGTTTTTGTTTTTGTTTCAGATCTGGGGATGGAACTCAGGCCCTTGCGCTTGCCAGGCAAGGCTGGCCTTTTGATGATTCTGTTCCATTATGAAGTTAGTTGGTGAGAACCTGATCTTGTCAGGTTTGAGTAAATCGGTGGAGGGAGGGGCAGGGAGAGACAACATGCTGGATAAGGAGAGTGGGCCAAGACTCTTGCTGTCCACAGGACTGACTTGATTTATTCTGCTTTCTCTCCCCAACACACCGCTCTCCACAGTATCCTCCATCCTGAGTCTGACTCGGTTTTCCTCCCTGTCTGGACACCCTGGCTCTGGGGCCTGGCCCCACCCGCCCACGCCCTTCTCGGGGCTCAGTGCTGCCCTGGGTCCCCAAGGGCCTCTGGCTTCTCGGGCGCAAACCTTCTTGCTTTCCACTGGGCCCCAACGCAGTTTCAAGTTTCTGCCGCTGCTGAGACAGCACCTGACATCTGCTTTGTATCTTGAAAAATTTTCTTGTCACCTTTCTTTTGCTGTCCTTGAGGTTTAATACCTTATTTTTATTCCTTTATTGCCATTTTATTGAGGCTTTGGAAGGACTGAACACAAAGCTGTACATCCACTCTCCAAGTAATCTGGGCCCTCTCGTGTGTTTTCTTCACAGCGGAAGAGGGCTGCCTCCTGCTGCCTAAACCCTCCCATGAGCTCGTCAGGTGAGTTCTTCTTCCTGAATATCTGTTGATTCACTTGCCTAACATGTTATTTAAACAGCCTATATTTTCTGTAATAATTAAATTTTTGCCTATTTTTTTACAGCGCTGAGAACAGAACCAAGGGCCGCGTGGGTGCTAGGCAAGTGCTCAACAGCCAAGTCTTTCTAACCCATCACAGGAAGTAGATATTTGCTTCTCTCATGATTCCTTTCATAAATGTTGTCTTGAGGAGGAGTGTGGAAAAGTATTGAATTATTCCTGTTGAGTCTAGGGGGCCTGCCCCTTAGCTCAGTTCTTTAAGTGGCTGCTTCAACAAAGCAGTCAGGCTCAGGTTGCTGTGGTTCGATCCCCACAACTCAAGCAGGCCAAACCTGCCCTGACATCATTCAGAGCCAAAAAAAAAAAAAAAAAAATCCTACTGAGTCTAAAGTGAATGTTACTACATGAACCAGCCCTATCATCTTATTTTATTTCTTTGCTTCCGAAGACGAAGATGCATCATCGACAATGAGCCCAAACCATTGTAGGTCACACAGCACCCACACAGCTTAGGAGAAGACAAGGAGCTATCGGGGATTGAGGAGGTGGGGGCTGAGCCGCGGCATTCCTGGGGAGACTGTGTCCATGGCAGCCGTGACCACCTGAATGAGACGCAGGTTCAGAACCTCCGGCGGCTCTGCTCTTACTGCCTTGGGCTTGTCCGCCCAGCCTCTGTGCAGACGCTCTCGTGTGGCCCTTGGTGGGGCCAGCACAGCCGTACTTCCGTGCCTTTCTGCTCCTGTGGCCCATCGGGCTGGGACTTGCGCACCTGTGAATTCTAATGCTCGCCCCTCATAGTTCATTCTGAGCTCAGCCATGTACAGTTTTTAATTCCTTCTGACGCTCTTTGGAGGCCAGTCAGGGTGCTGCTGCCCTTAGCGGCTGTCTGATGTGTGTGGAGAACTTTGCCGTGCACCAGGACAGTGGAGCCAGCTGTGGCGTGCACTCCAGAGGTGAAGCCACGGCTGAAACCCAAGACTCAAGAACACGCAGACAGAGTGCTCCATGGGCCAGGGCCTGATCGGGGGATGCAGCTGGCGTTCAGTAATTGGAGGACACTCGCTTGTCATCTGGAGTGTCATGTGCAGGTGATGGACCCCATACATATTTAACAAGAGTTCATCATGCGTGTTCTGTGCCAGACATCGTGCCCCAGCACTGGGGACACAGCCCTAGCCTCAGGAGGATTGCACTATAGGAGGAAGACTCTTTGGAAGCAGGGACAGTGAAGGGAGGAAGTCTGAGCCTTGGTCCCTTGGGACCAGGGCAGGGACGTCATCCAGCGGAGGAGGCTATGCAGTTGGAGCCCACAGGGCAAGCATCAGATCATTTTGGAGGAGGAATTCAGGGAATGCTGAGGTCAGGGTGGACCCTGTTCAGAGTGAGCCGTGTTAACCGGCTGGCCGTTCTTCCCCTGTGGCTTCCATTAGAAGCCCTCACTCTGTTGTTACCCAGGTCGTCTGTCTCTGGATCCTTCCAAACGCAGCGCAGAACTCTCCTGGGCCATCCCTGTGTACTGGTGTGCTGCATAGTTACCGTGGCACAGGGAGGAGAGGGAGATGCGTCCTCCAAGGCCTAGAGGGTGGCAAGGGGCCTGCAAAGCCCAGCCTGCCAGGAGGTGATGCGGGGGGGGGGGGTGTTCCTGCAGGCCGAATAGGAGCTCTGCTGGGGTTGGGGGAGCTGGATTCTAGGCAGGGGGAGGAGCCGGCACCACAGCCTGGCACCCAGGAAGGCATCCTGAGCTCCTGAATAAAAGGTAAATAGGAGTCACAAGTGCCATGGTCAGCCAGAGTGTGCAGAGCTGCCAAACAAAACCAAAGGAGGAGATGGAGAGGGAGGCTGGCAGCCAGGTAACCAGGAGGAGGAAAGGAGACCGTCCATGGTCAGAACGCTGTCTCCCTGGCTGAGATCCCCAGTGGTATAGTAACCACCATGCTGGGTCAGCTTCTCTCCCCAGCCAAGCGCTTGACACACACGTAGCTGTGCTGGCTCAGTCTCTGTGGCCAGAGTCCACAGGCAGCCAGCCTTGGTGCAGGGACTGAGTGGAGGACAGCTGCTGACCCCATGTCAGCCAGGAAGCAGAGAGAAAGGGAAAGGGGCAGAGACGTGGGGGTGGGGAGGAGCAGGTGTACCCTAAGGTCACTCCCTGGGCCACACCCAGCGTGGGCTCTGCCAATGCCCGGACATCACGCAAATCAATCATGTTGAGGACCAGGATGAACTAGCCCTGCAGAGAGTACCAAACCCTGTATGTGTGTTGCTTTTCCTTATACGTGCCCATAACAAAAATAAAATAACGGTGATGGCCACACAGCAGCCCAAGTTATGTGGATGTGCTCCGCCCCCGGCAAAGCATCCCTTGCCTGCGCTCACCTTCCCTAAGGTGGGAACAGCGTGGTGCCTGCATGGTAAGGCGAAGCAAGGTGAGAGACGAGGCCTTCTGACAGGACACTGGGCTCCTGGGCACGGCTCCTGGGACAGCAGACGCACTGCAGCTGATCCGGCAAGCACGGGGGACTGAGTGCCGGGCAGTGGCCTGTGCGGCATGGGATCCGGGGACGGGTGACTCACCACCTAACCGGCAGACAGGGCAGGACAGCACAGGGTCTCCGCATCCTCCTCACAGCATGTGCAACTTAAAACTTACGAATGATTTATTTCTGGAATTTCCCATTTAATTTTTCTGTACGTGGCCAAGCACAAGTCAATAAAACTGCAGAAAGCAAGACCGGGTCAGCGGGACTGCTAGACTCAGTCAGAGATAGCGCCATTCCGTACATAGCAAAGTCCAAGTGGATTTTGGAAGCGGGGACAGTGAAGGGAGTTTTAAATGAATATTACAGACACTCTCGGCACCAGATGCATATTTTAAAATCGACTAGATTTCTACTTACAGCAACAGAAAATGAAAATTTTTAAATGTCATTTCTACCAGGATCAAAATGTAGCAAAGAATGTATAATGTGTCTATGCTGAAAACCACAAAATATTTTTAAGAAAAATTTTAAAAGACCCAAATAGGAATAGAGAAAAATATTCACTTTATAATTTGAGGAAAACTCAATATTATAATAATGATAGTTTTTCTTAATTTAATCTACATATTCAGTTTACTTCTAACTAAAAAAATCTGCAGTTTTTCTTTTTCTGGACGCTTGTAAGCAGGATCTGAAATGTACCGGGAAACGCAGTGGACCTGGACCGACAGGGCGAGGGACGCTCCCGGGCGGAGGTGTCTGCTCCCAGCGTCTGCTCCGGGGAGCTATAGCCGATGGCACACTGACACATGTCTCCGGCACGGCCTGGCCCCCAGCATGGGCACAGTGCTCAGAGCCCCGGACCCATCCCGCTGTCGCGGGAGCCAGAGGCGTCAGCGGTGGTGCGGTGCCTGTGCGGCGGCTGCAGAATGGGAGGGTGAGGCAGCTACTGGGGAGGCGACCCGTGTGCTCTGTGAAGAGCTTCGTGCACAGAAGCCCGTTACTGGCCCGAGCTTGGTGAGTCAGAGTTGAACAGGACGAGAGGGGTAGTCACGATGGACGAGCTGCGTGGTGCTGTGGGCCCTGGGCCTCGCAGGAGTTCTTCAGACGGAGCTGCCAGAGGGAGGGCGGCACTCGCAGCAAGGCTGGAGGCGGCCGAGCGGCTGGGCCTGTGTCCCGCTGAGTGTTGGGACTTCACCTGAACAGATGGGGTTTCCAGCGGAGGCCCCTTAAATTGGGAAAGCCGAGGGAGACACCTGGAGCGCTGCCTGAGTTCGCAGGAGAGAAAGAACAGATACTTCTCAGAGGCCAGAGAGGACCCCAGCCACCCTGCAGCTCTGCCCTGCGCGGCTTCATCCCAGGCTTGCCTGAGGCCTGAGCAGCTGCTGTGTCCTCTTTGCAAAGAGGTGCAGAGGTAGGTGATCTGCGGCCTCGAGCTCAGCAGTGGCCCCAGGCCTGGCCACAGAGTCACATCCAGAGGCGAGGCCCATGGAGGGGCGAGTCCCAGCCAGACAGCCTGGAGATGCCGACCTCTGGGCTTCTGTCCTTGTCCCCTCCTGAACCTCTCGCTGCCTTTGGAGCTCCTCCGTGTCGGCCGCTGCCCTTCCCTTGCTGCTCTCTGGCTCGCTGGACTTCGCTTTCCCTGATGGCCTCTGCTGTGGATCTTGCACTGACCTGACCCAGCCCCTCTCCTTCCATTCCCAGTTTCTCAATCATGCGCCCAGAGGTCACTGTGACCTGTGTGCCCTAGCATCACCTGTGGCCCATGGCTAACCTTAAACTCGTACTTTAGCTTCCATTCCTAGCACAGTGGGTCTCTGGGGCTCCAGAGGAACCATGGAGGCCCACCTGGCTCGCCTGCGCTCCCGCGTCAGGTACCTACATGCAGCAGCCTCAGCATCAGCTTGGATTCGTCTCCTGACCTCGCAGCCACGGCTCCCTCTCTGCTAGTTCTGTTGTCCCATGCCTAAACCACTGAATGTGACTCCCTGACCCTTTAGGTAACCTACCTTTAGACTGCTTCCTAGCAAAACTCCTACTCAAAGGGCTCTTGTCATTCATGTGCCTTCTCTAGAATTAGGGAAGGCCACTGCCCAATGAGGCAACCCCAAGTTACTTAGGAATCTGCTCCAGCATGAAGACCCCGCCCTGCCCGCTTTCGCTTGTTAAACCCCAACCCCTCTCGGTGGCCAGCTTGCCGTCATTTTCTTCCTGGGTTTCCCCACATCCGCGCCGCCACCTTCCCCTTGGACCCTGGTACGAGGTGTCTCCTCCCTGTTTTCAGACAAAGCCCCAAGTTATGCTTGTCCTGAGGGCTCAGAGCAGAAGTCACATGTCTCGGTCCCCCAGCTCCTCTTGCTTGCTGCCAAAGAGACATCTGTTAATGCACTGCCTTCTCCAACTGTCCAGCTGGAACTGTGCAGCATTTCTTGTGTGTTAATAGAGAAAGCCTGTCCGTCCGCCAGCCAGGTATTCCTCTGGCTTTCTCAGGGGGATGATAAGCCCTCGTGTGCAGTGTGAAACCATGCCTTCTATATTTTCATATTCATAATGTCAATGTTATCATTCAGTAAATTCCCATTATTGACAAACTATAAACACATGGATTTTTATGCATCCTTCTAAACTCAGTGATTTATCTGAATAATAGTGATAATTCTGTACCCTTATTTTAAAGGGCTCTTTCCTTTATGGAATTGAAAACGCAAATATACTACCAAATGTTTAATACACTCTGTTTCGTATCTTCAAGCTAACTAAAGTTATACCTCTTAGGGCAATATTTGTAATTATTGTGAAAGAAAGCCCCTGAAGGCTCACAGTTTGAAATTGAACAGGATGCCCTTGGGAAGGGAAAGGTCGTGGGTTGGCCTCAAACAGACAAGAAACAATGGGGACGATTGTGTCTGGAGACGGTGTGTTTTCTGCTAGGGACAGTGTGTTGACAGTTCCCTTCCTCTCGGGTCACTGCTGAGGGTTAAGCGGGCTGTGACAGCAGATGGATCACAAGGTTGCTCACGCAGGGGCTAGAATGCAGCCTTCTACCCGCAGCCTCTGCTGCCCAGCGAAGCGCTTTGTCTCCTCAGCCACACTTCACAGCGTGAGCTCGGCACCCAGCGACAGTACCGATTAATTCCTCTTCACCCAGTTTTAGGTCTCCATGTAAGTGCGATTGGAAGAGCAGCAACATATCTGAAAACTGTTAGCCTTAGAATTAGGCATCTGTAATTGTTATTTAAAGAGGTGACTGAGTTAACACACCTAGATACGGCCCCATTAATTGCAAAATCGAGGCAAGCACTTATTGGACGACACCTCCAGTTTGCCTATAAAAGTTAACGTTTTAACTCAAAGATGCTGCTTCCCAAAAGCCAGACACTTAAATCACAAGACAGACTGAAGGCATTAAACATAGAGGTTTGAGTATCTATTGAAGGCAGTTAAGCAGTGATTTTATACCTGAGAAGTATCACTAGGAAATGTTTTGTTTATACAGTGTTGAGAACATCTCTTTAAAAAACTTCAGTGACACTACTTGGAAATGCAGTTATTTCAGAAACTATGTAATTGTTTTATTTAATACTTTAGAATAATCTTTGTGCTCCAATTAGAACACTGTTTTTGTTTTGTTTTAAGATAGGGTCTTACTGTGAAGCTCAGGCTGCCCGTGAGTTCACTCTGTAGCCCAGGCTGGCCTTGAATTCATGGTGATCGTCCTGCCTCAGCCTCCCGAGTGCTGGGATTACAGATGTGCACCCGCACCCTGAGCTCTAGGACATAGTAATATTAGCAAATAGAGAAAAACCTCAGGCAGAAGTAATAGAAAAGAGTCATCGTTCCCTTTACAAAAATGACCAGATTCTGTGTGAAAATTAAACTAATCTCAATTTTGATGCGTTTGTCTCTCTGTATAATAGATGGAAAGTAAGTTAATTACGCTAAAAATTGACAAAGTTCAAGAAAAATCTTTATTATTGAATGAGATAATTTACAGGAATAATGCTTTGCTAAAAGTTTTTAATGTGGTTCATTAAGCCTTTATATTTTTATCATCTACGCATGAGGCGCATTGTCCATTCTCTGGACAATGACCTGGACAGGCTTGCCTTTCTGTGATCTGTCCTGACAGTGGTGGGACGGATGTGTTGAATCTATTCATTGGGGATGCGTTATGTCCGGGTTTGGGTTCGGGTTAGGAAATGGACGTGTAGGGTGCACTTACTAGGGGTGCGCGCCGGCACTGCAGGCCAGTCTGTCTCACAGCTCGGTGCTATCTGAGCAGTCCATTCGGATACAACACCTTTGAAAGCACAGCTGCACCCGCCCACTGCCTGGTTTCTGTTGTCTTTTCAGGCCATCCAGAGTGATCTCATTTGATGATTACCACAAGACCTGGTGTGGAATAGCCACGTCGAAAGCCACAGAATCCCACAGAAGGCCACGTAAGGCACCCAGCCCTGTCTTGTGTCCTCTCACGATGTTAGTCTCTTCTTGATTTGCCGCTTGTTTTCTTTTCAGAGACTAATTGACACGTTTGCTCTGTGATAGTCGGAAGCAACTCTGTGGGCCCGTACACTGTTCATTAAACAGCTATTAATTTAGTTCCTCTCTGCAGTGGCTGCCCTGAGATCTGATTAAAAGCAGAAGGAACGGCAATTGAGGACATAAAAGACAAGAGTTCTTAGTTCTCCCAGGCTTGCTTAACTTCCTTCACCCCCGCAAGGAAGCTTCTCGGCAGGGGAACCTTTCTAAACTAGACACAATTACTCTCTAAGCTGGCAGGCAATACGCAGAAATTCAGCGAGAGAACAGAACCCAGGGCCGACCAGTTGTCTTTCTAAGTGGAAGGATCAGCTGTTACCATCACAGGTCAGGGACTAAGAGGACAGAAGGGCGAGCTGGACAGCTTTCCCGCCCCTTAACTGGACCCTCGGGTGCTGTTTTCTTCAGCAAAGTGGCTGATCTGGCCTACCCCACCGGCTGGCTCGGCTGCCCCATGGGTGGTTGCCAGGCCGCCCTCCGGAGCTACTGCAGGCCGTGACTCCCTCCTCCCCACGCAGACTGCGGGCCCCTCCTCCCTGGCCCTCACCCAGTGCTCTCCTTGGTCGCTGACCCCACAGCGCGATGTCCCTTCTCCCTCCCTGACACTCCCGCCCTTTCCTCCTCTGGCCGGCACGCTCCAGCCAGGCTCCAGCGCGGAGCCCCTTGTGCTCGTGCGCACGTGCGCAGCACACACGGCGCAGCTCAGCGACACCCCAGAGCAGTTCATTCCTCCCCCAACCTGCCCTTTCTCCTCTACTCCCCTCTCGCTTAGAGATAGATCGTTTTCTCATTCTTACCCAAGCCAGAGGCTTCCTCTTTTTCTGCTTTTCTTGGTGGCTCCCATTAAGCCATGCTGATTTCTTGGCTGGTTTCCACGCTTCGGCCACTCCACCGCGGACCGTGTATCTATCCGCCCTGATGACCATTTCCTAACTCTCAGAAACACAGTGCCCAGCTGCGTGTGGAGGCGCCTGCCTGTAGTCCCGGCGTGCAGGAGCCTGAGGAGGATCGCAAGCTCAAGGCTAGCCCAGCAACGAGCAGGACTCTGCTCAAAAGAGAAAGAGAAGCGCTTGGGACTCCTGCCTAGCGCGCCAGGCTGCGAGCTCAGTTCTCAGCACTGGAGGGTGGAGTGGAAGAGGGAGGGAGAGAGAGGCACGAGGAAAGGAAGGAAGCAAGGTGGAGAGACGGGGGAAGGAAGGAGAAAGAAAGAAAGCTAGACCTAGGGTTTAGGCCCCTCATCAGATAAAAGTTAATTCTAAGCTTCACAAATAAAATCAAAGGTAAGATAAGTAACCCTAAAGAAGCCATATGTTCTTTCAGGAAGTTGGTTATTTGTTGTTTATGATTAGTCACTATTATTCATAGATTAATGCTCAAAAATAATTTCAGATGTTTTAGGGTCATAGCTTCTTAGAAATACCGTTAGTATAAAAAAAAAAAATGTAATTATCTCTGACACCAGAATCCATGAGTGTTTAATGTCAGAGGTTTGTGGCTGGGAACTGTGCCGTCGACGTGACAACCCCTGTGGATGTGGTCACTGGCCGGAGGCAGGACCTGCAGGAACCCTCACCGTGCTCGCGTGGTGTTGAGGCCCTCAGTGGACCCCGCAGTGTGGCTTGGATATTCTGCCCCCCACCGACGCCCGCAGCGGGTCCCAGGACCGTGCTGTTCCGGGCGACACGCGAGCATCCAGGTGCGCCGGGCGACTCCGAACTGCGCCAGCCATGGAGGACTAGAACACAGCCCCGAGCCCAGGGACATTTGGGGACGTCTCTCTTGAAACAAAGAGCAACTGAAAAATGGAAGGAAAGAATCATGCACCACAGACTGCGGCTTCTTCTCCCAGGATTTCGGCCCCACGCCCTTCACTCAGTTGCTGCTAGTGGAAGGTTCGTTGGTCTTAGCAGAGCTGATCACTAATAATGCTTATCCTCAGCCCGAGGCGACGCTGGGACATTTTGAGTGGAGCACTCTGTGGCAGATGGCACAAGGACCCTGCCTCCTCCTACTCTACGTAATGGTGTTTCTGGGTTTTGTTTTTGTTTTTGTTTTTGATATTTGTTTTTTTGTTTTTTTTTTTTTTTTTTTTTTGAGCCAGCGATTGAACTCAGGCCCTTGCGCAAGCGCTTATTCCACTGAGCCATCTCCCAGGCTACCCTACGGAATGAAGTAAGAGTGTTTCAAGTGTACCTTCAAACCTCCCAGCACTTCATTACAAAAAGTAAGAGCAGGCTTCCCGGGTGCTGCCGGCCCGCTCGTCTTAGCCCGCTGGACTGGGTCCAACGCTATCCTTTTAGTGGCCTAATTTCCTGGCAATAACAAAGATGGAGCTTGTAGATTATAGAATGTTTCTCCAATGACTCAGAAATAGAAGGAAAACACCCAGTAACTTCATTTTCTACACTTACCTTCTTATCACTGGGGAGACTATTAAACTCTTATGTGTATTTTTAAGCATTTTGTCGGAGGAATGAGTAGTTATATTTTGATTTTATATATTAGTTCATTCCATAACTTTGTGGCACAAGGCTATGTTGTCATCAATCTCCTAATAATAGTAAGTTTATTCTAGCATGACATCACATATAAAGCAGGCTAAACGTGCCCCGTTTGTAACCATCTCACCCTGTCATTCTTTATTCATTTATGCAACCAATATTTATTGCGCACCTAATTTTGCTGCGAAGCAGGGCCCACCCAGCCCATGAGCTGTGCAGCATTAGAGCTGTGGCCCTGTTTGACAGACACAGCCAAGACCAAGAGGACTCCGTAGCTTACTGCGATCACACAGGCAAGGGAGAGCATCAGTCCGGCAAAGCAGCTAGGTTTGGGAACCAGGTGGCCCAGGCTTGATCCCGCTCCGCGCTCCCTGGCTGCGTCTCTCCCCTTCACTGGGTCACGGGTCCGTCTACAACATGAGAATAATCACAGCGCAGACCTCACGGGCCAAGCGCTCGCGCACGGCAGCACCCAGCAGGTGTTCCATGAAGAAGCTGTGGCTCGGTCTGCACCAGGTCCTGGTCCCCATGCCTCCCTCTGTTCCACTGTCTGCCTTCACGCCAGCAAGTGACCCTCAAGCTCTGCCCTCAAGGCAGGGCGTGGATGAGCACCTCCACCTTGGAGGTCACCGACACAGGCAGCCTCACCAGAAATGACTCACTCTCCTCCTCCGTCCATCTGCACAGTTTGGGACAGGAAAGATTTGGCAGAGAACAAACCAATACCTGTGGCTGTGGCCGCAGCTCACTCATGACAAATGCGACCTCACAAGGCAACACTTACGTTCAGGAGAGTCCTTCAGCCCAGCCTGCTCCCTACCCTACAGCACAGACTCCCTGCCGTGTGTTTGCTGTCACCAGGACAAAGCCAGGAGCTGAAGCACCGGGGCCCTTGCTCTCCTCAGGGACCCGTTCCTGACCTGGGAGCCAGCGCGTGCGTCTGTGGCCGTGCAGTGGCTCTGTTGGAGCTGCTCGCTAAAACCCCCAGGAGCTTGTCCCAGCTTGGCTGAAGGGCACCCCCAGACCAAGGCCAGCAGGGGGCAGCAGGCCTTGGGTGGCTCCCCAGGCAACTGTGCACGGCCACGGTAGGGAAGGGCCAAGTGGGAGGGCACGGTGGCGTATGTTAGCAGGTCTAGACTGTGCTTGCTAGCATGCCTGCACTAGCATGCTCCTTGCACTAGTGTGGCCCATCACTAGTGTGCCACACCCAGCTAATGGAACCCAGTGGGGCCGCCATGAGCGCTGCTCTCGGGGGTGGGGCACCCCACAGGGAGCCTAGCTCCTGAGATGTGGTGTGTGAGGCGCCTTGTGAAGAAGCAAGCAGCAGTGCGCGGGGTGCCACCCTCAGCCCCCAGGACCCGGAAGAAGCCCAGCGGAAGCAGAGGGAGGCATCCCGGCCAGGCCCAGAAGGACGAGCTGCATGGTGGAAGAGGTCCAGAGGACGCTTTTCTGCCCAAGTTACAAAACTGTCACAGAGCCCAAGCAGAGTCCTGGGGCTGCATTTCCAACTCTGAGAGCGTCTGCTCAAATCTTGCGGGTCCTTTCCTCTGCTGCCCTGCCCTCCTGCCTTCCTAGTCCCGGTCAGCAGCATATCCTTGGGAACATCTCCACCTAGGTACTAGTGTGCTGGGGACAAGAAGACAGGGACATCGGGGCGTGGTGAGGGTGCCTGGAGTCCCAGCCCCAGGAGGCTGAGGCTGAAGGACCTCGCACTTGGGACGAGACTATCTTTAAAAAGCAATGACAACAAAAAAAGTAAGCGGCATGACAGCCTTTCTGAAGCAGTGCCTGGCAGGTGGCAGGGGAGGGACGTGTGGGCGAGTTACAGGGATAAAATATGGAAAACATTAAATAAAAATTTGTACAAAGTACCGTGGCATTTTCATCTCTCGTGTGGCAGGGAGCGCACAGAGAAGGATGAATCACGACGGGACACTAATGGGACCGTGCAGGAAGAATGGCCGTGTCACACGCGGTTTTATCGTACGTAAGGAAGTGACTGTCTGCTGTATATATTCAAATGTAAAATGTAGGAAAGGCAATTGCAAAAAATTAAGGAAAGATATGAATTATCCTTGAATAAGAACCTCAAAAGGAAATGGCATTTGAGAGAGATTGAATTTTAAGTTTTGGCCATGCACCATGAAGATTCCGATGAGCAGACGTTCCTCAGTGTTGCCGGCTCTGCTCATCTGTCACCCGGGTTGGGTCGGGCAGGAGCCACTCACAGACGCTTCATGCGACCCCCGAGGGTGACCGCTGGGAGTGACTGCTGGCTGGGAGTGACCTGGAAGCAAAGGAGGACCTCCCCCCAGGCTCTGGGAACCCAGTTTGCTTCTGTAGTGGAAAGAGAGTAACGGAAGTGCGCACACAGGGAGTGTTAAGGAAGCATTAACGACCCTTGTGTAGCCCGCTTATCTAGATTGGGGCAAGACAAGAAACAGAAGAAGAGGCGGGAGCATGGCTGATGAAAGCCTTCTAATAGGAGAACTACTTGGGCTAAGAGGACTTTCCCTATCAGTGGCAGATGTCGTCAGGTAGAAGAAGTGGCCCTTGCTGAGCAGGGGGCTTCAGACAGGCAAGACGAAGAGAGCGCAGCTGGCCAGACAGCTCCGCTGTAGACTCAGCTGATGGCGAGTGACTGCAGATGAAGTATTTGTTTCAACATAGTTCACGTAAAATTTCCCGTGCCTTAGTACAGTAGGTTTTCAGTAAATTTTTTGTGCATTGGATGGAAGGCACAAGGCTTACAGTTAGCCATGAACTTGCAAGACAGTGGTGTGAGGTGAGTCGCAAAACTTCCAAATGCAGATCTGGGCTGACTGACATGCAGGCCAAGGACACGGGGTTTCCACTTGTGTCTGTGCTACTTCCACCAATCAAGTTCTTGATCTGGTTCTGTGTGTGCATGTGTGTGGGGGTGCACATGTGTAAGGTGTGCACAGGTGCATGCATGTGTGGTGTGTGCAGGTGTACATGTGTATGGTGTGTATGCGTGTTCAGGTGCATGTGTGTGGGGGCTGTGCATGTGCGTGCATGGTGTGTGCATGTGTGTGCACATGTGTGCATGCATGTGCATGGTGTGTGTGCAGGTGCATGTGCGTGTGGCGTGTGCACATGGTGCATTGGTAGGGTCTGAACCCCAGGCCTCACCCGAGCTAAGTTTGCTCTCTACCACCAAGCGATGCTCTAGCCCGGCCATAATCTGTAATAGAAACACAAGCAAGTTTGACTCCAGAAAGATCACATCCTAAGAAAGAGCTGACAGGGAGCCAGCTTCCTCAGGAGCTGTCTGTGTCACCGCAGGGCTCGGGCTCAGGCAGCGAGCCAGGCAGTGGCCCCCGTCAGCCCTATTTAACATCCTCAGTGGCACAGAAACAAGCATCCATGCAGGGGAAGCAGCCTCTGCCTCACCGTCCACTGACCTCCAGCAATGCCTCCTGGTGCGAAGCTCCAGCCAATGCGCGGAATTTGGAGATTCTGAGCACACGACGTGCCTCGGACTGCAGAACGCAGTTCTGGCCACATGTCAACTTCCTGAGTGGGGCATTATTTTCCACGTGCAGTCACCTCTCTCTTTCTACTCTCATTTCAGTGCTTGAAGACCCTGACCTCACCCGACAGTATTCTAAGTGGAGGGAGAAGGATCTACGGTGTTCTGAAGAATGGAAGCTTAAGTAAGAAATGTCTCTAGGTTTTATCAGTGGTGGCAGCAGTGGTGGCAGAGCAGAGAAGCAGAAACAAAAAGGGGGTGGGGGCTCGCTGACTCTGAAGACACGGAGAGGCTGGTGGGCAGAGAGACGGGCAGACTGTCTGACCTGAGACAGGAAGCCTGAGAGTGTGGGCTATTGCTCAGGGACGGAGTTTGAGGGGCGGGCTCAGGGGCACACAAGGAGCTGACTGGAGGCCTGCTTGAAGGAGTTGTATCCAGGGCTGGAGAGGAAGGAGGGGGAGGTGGTAGGCAGCCACGTCGAATATCCATGTCAGGGACAGGATAATTTAGCAGTTTGTACACCGGCCAGAACCTACCAGTTTCTAGAGCCTTGAATGTATTTGCCTATTAACTCGAAATGCCTATTTTTCTACCTTCTCCCGCCCATTACACTGGGCCATCAAAAGGGGCCTCCAGTTCATGTCTTTTCTAAGCGCAGGGACAACCCTCGGAAAGCACCATTTCTTCCTTCCTATGCAGCCCGTGGGGAACCTCTCTGCTCCCCCTGGCTGTGTGAGAACAGGTGCGCTGTGAAGAACCTTGGAAGACCTCACTCACTTCCACACCATCAACTTTACCAGGGTCTGACTTCAGAATCCTGAAGGAAAGAATCATTTGCATATCGCAGCTAGCGTGTCGTCCTTGGCGAAGCTGAAGCTCACTCTAGATTTCCAAACACCCACCATTCCAGGAGGAAGTGCACAGTGACAGCATAGACTCGGGACTGCCCCTTGGTGGGGGGGGGGGCGCTGGCTCTCTGGCCACAGAAGGAAGGGCCCGGGGCACCTTTTGCCGCTGGTCTCCTGAGAGAGAACAGAGCTCCGCAGCCAGAGGCCTGTATGGGGCCTCTGGTTGTGTCCTGGGCACATCTGTGGATGCTTAGGATCCTGCAGCCAGGGGAATGACAGCTGTTTTACTTTCTCATTTACGTCACTTATTTCACTTGTGAAGCTGCTCGACTCTGTTAGCACTGTGCCGTCTCTACACAGGAGAAATAGGAGCTTTGTAGAAATTACCGGGTGACTTTCCAGTGTGTGCGGCAGCCAGAGCTCCTCCACCCCCGGCCCCCGCCCCGCGCAGCCGGCTCTGTCTCTGCAGCTGACTCCCTCATCCAGTACTTTCTGCTTTCAGGATAAATTATGGGCAGAAGAAAAGTTTCTAGCAAGGGGAATTTGAAGGAGTACAAGCATTTTTTTTTTCCTTGAAGGCATGTTTCAACTTTCTTTTGGAGTTGAAGAAATCTTCTAAGACTATAAGGCTAATTTTGCTTTGACATGACTTCCTTTCTGATTTCCCCTTACAGAGCCGCGCCGGTTTACTCATCTGATCCCTGAGTGATTACGTAATGCCAGCGTCCCGCAGACCCCAGCCTGAGCGGGAGCCTGGCCCCTTCCTTTCCAACTGGTTCGATCTCTCTGCAGGGCTAAAGTACTCAGGAGGTGGGTGAGTGGGAGGCTGGCTCTCCAAGCCCATTACCCTGGGGTGGCAGGTCGTGCTGTCACATGCCTGGTGACCCTGTCACGCACGCGGGCTCGTGCCTTCCACCATCTGGTGGCTGCTAGGAAACCCTGAGATGGAAGGGTCTTTGCTGCTTATAAATGGTGCAGTTGGTCAGGGAAAAGAGAACACTGTCGCGGCACCTTGGAAGCACTCGGGAAAGCCCTTATGCCGTCTCGGTTCATCACGGCTTCAGGTTTGGAGCATGTAAGCCCGCGAAAGTATGATTTAAGTATCTAAAGCACAGTGCGGTTCGTTTTCTGGCAATTCTCAGGAGCTGCAAGCTGAGTGGAAGGCACGAGCTGTGATGGTGCCCATCGGGGGCTGCTTGGGCAGCGGCCGTCGGGACCTCTGCGGGCGCAGCGGCCCGAGTGTCCCAGGGCGCCACCGTGTACTTCTCTTGGCCTAACGGTGCATGACGAATCACCCCATCCCGACCAAGCACAAGTGCGGATATTTTCTGGGTGAGGGAAAGGACCCTCCCTGTCCATCACCGCCGGGCCTTGCTTGCGTTCCTCCTACCGCAGCCGTCAACACAGACTCCCCAGTGACGTTATCTCCCCTCACTGTCTCTGAGGACTGAGGGCTCTGGCTCTGGTCATGCCACAGCCTGGGACCTCTCCCTGGTGGCATCCCCAGGCCAGGCCGAGGCCTGACGTGCATAGAGGAGGAGGGCACCGGTGCCGTGGGCAGGAGCTGGTTGCCCCTCTGCATCCTGGCCATGCACGACGCCCAGTCCTCTGCCCCTCTGCATCTCCGTTTCATTTGTTACACAGCTATTACCCATTCCCAACACAACTGTGACAGTTATGTGAATTCATCCTCAAAAAGGGCCTCCAGCCTGCCCAGCACTCGGCAGTAGGGTTCGCTGCTGTTCACGGCTCTGCCAGCCTAGGCCCCAGCAGCGGGGTTCTGGCAGGGAATCCGGGGGCTCTTGCTGGACTCATTCCTGGCCATCCCAGTGACAATTTCACCTCCCTCCAAGATGCTGGGCCTAGAATTTCCAGGGAGATGAGGTGTGACAGTAGGCGGCTGGCAGCTAAAGCTGCACGGGAAGAGGGAGGATGAACGCTCAGACTGCAACTTCCGGGGAAGACCAGCCAGCAAGCAGCACCACATCCAGGAGAGGGAGCGCCACTGCGGACTGCAGTTACCAGGTCCCCTCCTCTGCTGGCCAAGTGCTTTGTAGGGCGCAGCTCGGGCGCTGAAACCGTCCCCATCAACCCTCCCGTGGGCATCTGTCCCTGTCTGTCCTTCAGAGCTTGTGCTGTGAACCTCCCTCCACCCTCCAGGCCCAGGCCAGGGCTGCTGGGGTGGCTTCACCTCCTCTATGCACAGTGGCTGGAGAGTCATGGGCATGCATTAATGTGCATTGGAAGATGCCACTTCTTCTTAGGAGTAAATACGAGAGCAGTTAATTTTACAAAAAAATATTTACCAATAGACCCCTATTAAAATCCACTCTAATAGAGAGATTAGGGTTCTGTTGGAGCAGTACATGGCATGGTCAGAAACATGGAAGCTAGTGTCCTGGCGACCGCCTGTAACCTCAACACCGAGGAGGCTGAGGCGGGAGGACTGCAAGCTGAAGCTGGGGCGTGGGGTATGAATTTGCTAAGTCCCTATTTCACAATAAAATAAGTAGTATAGGGTTGAGGGTGGAGCTCAGTCCAATGGCCCTGGTTCAATCCCCAGTACACCAAAGAGAGAGAGAGACAGACAGAAAGATAAGGTTTCCAGCCTCCCTTGTCAAGTGGAAATATAAATTCATGAATATTTTATGAGAATTGAATTTTACAGATGTTTACTTACAAGTAACAGAAATACACTGCCATATAATCAACTCATGAGTCCTCATCAATTAACTGTTTGGTTTGGTTTTCATTTCCAAGATTTTTTTTCCTTTCCTACTGCCTTATCTCTTGACTATTTCTGCAAATGTTTGTTTCTGTTAAGACATAGGAAAGAGGGCCAGTGAGATAGCTCAGTGGACTAAGCACCTGCTTTGGCAAGCGCAGGGACCAGGGTTTGATCCCCAGTCCTGCATGCTGTGCCGGCCCCACCCCTGGGTGCACTGAGCCAGCCTGCGAGATGGGGCGTGGTGGCGCGCACGTGTAATCCCGGGGGGAGGGGCTGGAAACAGGATCAGCATGAGTCCAATCCGCATCGTGAGACCCTGTACCAAATACAGAAAAAAAAAAAAAAAAAGAAAAAGAAAAAGAAAGAAGAAAGAAAAGAAAGAAAAAAGACAGGAAAGATGTAAATCTAGGCTCTAAGCAATAGTTTTTATTTTTGCTGGAAAAATAGCGAAAGATACAAAGTCCCGCATCTTGGTCAGCAGGCCACGAGCGCGAGCGTTGTGCGTGGCACGGTGAAGCTCTGTGTCACGTGCTGCAGCTAAAGATGGCGATCCGCAGGCCGAGCCTTGGCGGTCAGCGGTGCCCCTGGGAAAGGCGTCCATCCTGGTGCGCTCGGCATTCAGGCAGCTTAGGAAAGGTCACCCTGCTGTCCGTACTTAGGAGACTCTGGTGCAGGAAGTGAGCAGGGAAGGCGCCTTCATCCCTAATGTGCTACTGGCCACTCTGGGCAGCTGAGAGCCCCTCTGTCTGTGACCACAGCAATGTCTGTCACCTCCAGGTCAAGTCACACAACTTGGCCTGGCCTGTGGATGCAACTTCAGGACAAGGCTCCACCTGGGTGTGGGGTGCACACCTGTAATGCCAGGGATCTGGGGGGCTGAGGCAGGAGGACCTCAAGTTCAAGTCCAGCCCAAGCCATTGAGTGACTTGGTGAGACACACTCTCAGAAGAGAGACTAAAAAGGACTTTGCTTGTTTCTCAGTGGCCGTGGACTCGGTACACACACACACACACACACACACACACACACACACCCCTGATTGCCACCCCAAGCCTTCCCACTAGGAAATTCTGTGAAAACAAATTTGTTCTCTCTAGTTTAGCAATGAGAGAAACTGAGGCACAAAGAGAATAACCAGTTTTCTTGAGGTTACTGAAAAATGCCCAGCTTGTTTGGCATTACAAGCATTTCCTACTTGTCCTCTACAGTGTGCTAATTAAGGCCTACCGTTTTCAGGTCAGTATAAAAATATCACGTGTCTCCTTGCAAACACAAATCCATCCTGTTTTCTATGGAAATTTTTTTTTAAAAAAAGCTTTAGTCAAGGCTGGCCAAATAGCTTAGCGGACTAAAGCACCTGCAAGCAGGTGCAGGGGCCGGGTGTTCCATCCTCCGGCCTGCCGGGCGGTGCTTTGAGACTGTGATTAAGACTGGGCGTGGTGGCGTGCGCCTGTAATCCCACCTCTTCGGAGGCTGTAAACAGGATCACTATGAGTCTGATCTAGTAGTGAGACCCTGAACACCCTGTAGACCCTTCCCTAAAATATGAAAAAAAACTTTTTTATAAATATGGTGTGAACTTAGTTATTCTGTATTTTAGTTTGAAGTATTAATACACATTCTAAGTTATTTAGTGTCGGGTTTTGACTGTATATTTTAAATCACAAACACAAGGCATTGCCCTTCCTGTTCCTGTTGCCCTTTCCGTTGGTGATATGAGGACATTCGGGTAATGTGTATTTGTGCCATCCCTTTAGGGTTACGGAGTTTAAGTCTTATTTTCACAGGATTATTTAATTACATTAACGGTGCATTTGTGAGGGGTTTGCTTTTTTATTCCCCAAAGAGTAAGCCTTTCCTGCCATCTTGTGGTTAAAGAGAAAATTCCATTGGCGTGCACGGGCACTGTGTTTTCGGTTTGGGGTTTTGTTTGTTCTGAGATGGTCTTGTTACACAGTCCAGGCTGGCTTTAAACTTACTGTGTAGCCCAGGCTGGCCTCGAACTCTGGGCGATCCTCCTGCCTCAGCCTCCCCAGGGCTGGGATGATAGGCGTGTGCTGCCGTGCCCAGCTCCAGGCATAGTTTAAAACATAGATGTGGGAAAACATACTGACAAAGACAAGAAAAATTCCTTCTTGAAACAGCTTCTGCCAGGCCGTTAGTCTGTGCAAGCTCAGGAGCCTGAGGCAGGAGGACTTCCAGAGTTCAAGGCCAGCCTGCGCCACACAGCAAGACCCTGTCTCTAAAAAAGCTAAACATGAGATTCTTTGGGTCACTGTTGGTGACAAAGCTGACGGCCAGCCCAGGCTCCCGGATGACACAGCCTTGCTCTGCCTGTCACACACTGAGGACCAGGCTGGCTTGGGGACCAGAGGAGGAGAGGATGGTCAGATGTTGTCATGGCGGTGACACAGATAAGACCATTTCCAGTTTCTCAGCAAATCTCTGGCGCGTGTTTCTCACACTTACTTTCTCTTACAATAAACAAATCCAACTCTTTCAGCCCCACGACTGAGCTCGCTGTTCTGTGTGACACCCCCCATGTCACACACCCCCATCTCCTCCACCGTGGAGCCCTGAAACTTTGGCTAGTTTTCTCACTGTCATGTGGGATTGGATGGAAATTTATAACATTGGAGCTTAAGATTATTTTTCTTTTTCCTTGTTCCTAAAAGAGGAGTTTTGATAAAAGTCAAAAACTGGTATGAGTCGGGACCAGTCGTATATATCTATACACCAGCACTCTGGGAGGCTGAGGCAGGAGGATCTCAAACTTGAGCCCAGCCTGGCTGCTTAGCAAGGTAGCAAGACCTGGTCTTGAAATCAGAAATAAAAACGGGCTGGGGATGGAGCTCAGTGCGAAGGCCCAGGGTTCATCCCCGGTTCTGTGGGGAGGGAAACTTCTCTCCAAGAAGACCCCAGCTTCAGTTCTGCTTGTGCATTTTAAGGCCCCCCCTCCCTCTCCCTCCCTCCCTACCTTCCCTCTCCCTCCTCTTAGCCTTCCTAAGGCCCATTGCTACTACTGTCATTGCTGTCATCTGTGATCTCTTATATCTATTGTTTTGGCTCAAATTTTCTTGTTTGTTTGATGACTGGTGATTTTTGGTAGGAGACTGGAAATTGTAGGTGTTCTGTTGCTACATACTGGATTGTGTCACATTCCTGCAGTTGCAGTTTGCGGTCCCTTGTCTCTGGAAGCAGCCCATGGCTCTGTGGTTCATTGATAAGCTTTCTGTGAGTTCGGGACGCCCCTGCCAGGGCTGCCCTAGCCCGTGGAAGGCCGGTGACAGTCTTGAAGGCACAGCTGTCTCCACCAGCGGGCGGAATGACACCCGCAATGCGTGAGCCCCAGGTTGCAGGACGGCCTTAGCGCCTTGTGTCCCTCCGAGCAGGCGTGGCCCTGCAGAGCGTCGCTGGCTTTATGCTGTCTCGCCTTTGTCTTCAGAGATGGCGCAGATGTTGCTGATTTCTTTTGTGGCCAACCACTTGCCTTTGCACAACTGAAAACACAAAATCTAAAGCCGAAGGTATTCCAAAGAAACAGGAATTCAGTGACTGAAATTAAAATGTCCTCACCAGTGAGCTAAGGGGTGAGATGAAAGCCGCCGGGCTCCCTCACTGTCGCCCGCCGCGCTTTCCGAGGCAGCGTCCCCTGAGCCAGCCGTCAGTGCGCTGGAGTCCCGAGGCCGGAGCCCCCGCTCGCTCGCCGCTTTCCGAGGCCCGCGCGGCGGCCTCGCGTGCTTCCTTCGGGCCGCCAGCCTGCCTCCGCAGCCAGCCGGGGATCGGGAACTGTTAGCTCCGGGACGGGCGCTGCGTTTACACACCTCGCTGTGCAGCGGGCGTTTCTATTGCGCTTACCAAGCAGTCCCGCACCGGATGTGTTTGCTTTTCCTTTTCTTTTCCTTCTTCCAGAACCGGACTCAGGCCCTTGCTCCTGCCAGGCAGCGCTTATTCTCCTGAGCTATCTCCCCGGCTCCTCTTTGCTTTTCTAACAGCTGTTTTTTTTTCTTTTTTTTTTTTTTTTTTTTTTGCGGAACCGGGGATTGAACTCAGACCCTTGAGCTTGCCAGGGAAGCACTTATTCCACTGAGCCATCTCCCCGGCCCACCAATTTATGTTTTTAACTTCAACATTTTCAGCGTTCCACGACTGCCCTCCCTGACGCTCGCCTGCGTCCTGGGGAGCAGCTCCCCGGCGGAACCATCTCGGGCTCTTCGCGCCCCTGCGCGCTCCGCGGCCGCCGCTCCATCCCGCGGTCCCCTCCCACTCACAGGTCTCCAGTTCTGATGGCAGCTCTTGCCCGCGTAACGGCTTCCCTGATTGCACTCACACCCGCTCTGCGGCAGAGCCTGCTTCTGCAGAGCCCCTTAATCATTCGTTCAGGTTTTTCCTCCAGAGCAAGTGACTCTTCAGAGAGTGCCGTGGGACTTGGCACGAGCCCATCCTCTGCTCTTCCCAGGTTTGCCGCCACCAGGTCTCGGTGCGCCCGAGAACGCAGAGCGCCTGCTATGGCCAGCCCCGCGGGGAAGAGGACCCACGCCTGCCCCAGTCCAGGTGAACCTGATGCAGCACACTGGGGTTTTGATCTTAGAACTAAAAAATTACTCATAATAACATTTGAATTTTTATGCAGTTCAGATAAGTCTGGCTATATGAAGCCTGTTATGGCCTGAATCTAGATGTCCCCCAAAGCCTCATGTGCTTGTAGAAGGGACTCTTTGGAGGTGGCTGGGCCTAGGACGTGTGAGTGTGGAGTGTGTGTGTGTGTGTGTGTGTGTGTGTGCATGGGTGTGATAACTGGATTAGTGTAGTGATTGGCTTAGCACGGCTCTAGGTGTGCAGAGTGCCAAGGCCCACCCTGCGGTGGGAGGCACCAATAATAGGCTTGGCCTGGAGTGGTGGAGAGAGGGAGGCCCGCTGGTGCTGCTGCGCCCTGCCTCCCGTCCCCGCCCGCCCTGCCATGAACTGTTTCTCCTCTTCAGGGCCCCTCTGCCACGCTGCCTAGCTGGCTATGGATAGAAACCTCTACTACCTACAAAGCCAATAAAAAACCCTTCCCCTTCAACTTTGGGTTTCAGGTATTTTGGCTCGGTAGTAAGAGTAGGAACTAAGGAGCTGATTCTTGTGTTCTCCTTTTAAATTTGCTTCAACTCTTTCTAAGAAAATAAATTCAGTAAATCAAAAACTACACAGGAAATAGGCATTTAAAAACTGAATTACTTGTATTTCAAGCTTAATGGGCTAATGCACAATTTGAAAATTCAAGGTTCAGTCCCCAAACGTAAAATACCAGCCCGAAACAAAGCACTCATTGTAGATTCAGAAGTACAGGTGACATAGTTGGAAAGAAAAGACTGGTGTTAGTTGTGCGTTTTGTGCATTTAAATTTGAACAGTTCTCAAAGAAGCATGAGTTCTCGGATAGACGGAAGGCCAGCCGTGGGTGGACACACAGGCCAGTGACGGGAGTGGGACATGTGGGGCTCACGAGGCTGCATGTGGACCCAGTGCCGTGTGATTAGAGGAGGCCCCACCTTCCACGCTCAGGTCCTGCATCCTCAGTGAGTGCCTGGAACCTGGCAGCATCCTAAATGGTAGTCCCTAGCATCCTGCAAGGTCTCACAGCATCTTGTGGCCAGGGTGGCCCACACAGGTGACAATTCCCTATAATCCAGGAAAGGCTGTTGACAGGGCCCAGTCAGTGCTCGCCCTGTCGTCCTTGCCAAGGCTCCCCAGGGTCTGGCTCCCTCTCTGCTTCCTCCTACCACTGACCCCGTGGGCCCTCCTTAACCCTGCCTCTCTGGGACAGTCCTCGGTCTCACACCTCCTGGCTTCTCTACTCCTGTGCCACTCTGTCCCCCTGTCGCCAGAGTCCTCATAGGCTGAGGCCGTGTGTGACTCAGGCGGTGACCACAGTGACTCCAGCCATGCTCTGTGATTCTGGCGCTGCCACTCAGAGCCACCTGCAGTCACAGGCGTCCCTGTCCTCCAGCAGCACCTCCTCCCTCCCTCACCCCTAAACACCACACTGACCCCTGGGTCACCTTGGCTTCTCGCTGCACTGTCCCAGAGACATCAGGAGGTGCACGTGGCCTGAGGGCCCTGCACTGTGCATCCATGCCTCTCTCCTCCCTATACCCAGGCACCCCAACTCTGAAAGCCCCCAAGCCCCAAAGGCTCTGCTGCTAACGGGGCGCCACGAGTGGAAAGTTCCACACCACCAATCTGCTGCCTGCCCCAAACTGCTAGACACATTGTGTAAGCCACCTCCAGCCCGTGTGCATAAGGTGCAGATGAAGGGCAGGCCATTTTTGTACTCCACTTGGGTCCTGCCTCGAGGGTCTCTCTGTCTGTCTGTCTGTCGAGGGGGGGGGAGAGGGAGATCCCAAAATCCAGGATAGTTTCAAATCTAAATCATTCTGTTCTCCAACATTTCAGGTGAAGGGCCCCCCACCTGAGCCAGGCCTGGTGGCACACACCTAGAATCCCAACACTCTGGGAGGCTGAGGGAGGAGGATCACAGGCCTAGGAGTTTTAGCAAGACCTTACCTTAAAATTGAAAAGAAAAAAATAACAGAAGTGCTAGGAGTAAAGGGCCGGGGAGCTAACTCGGTGCAAGACCTTGGGTTCAGGCCCTAGCACCACCTCCGAGGGTTATCACAGTGCTTCGGCATGGCTGTGGGCTGTTAGTTTTCTGTTGCTCTCTCTCTGTGACAGACTGCCGTACCTGGAATGGCCTAACACAACACACACACACACCTTGCTCCACAGCTCTGGGGCCTGGAGCCCGGATCCAGCTCGGCCTGGGCTCTGCTCAGGGGCTCCGGCTGCAATCGGGCCGTCCGCTGGGAGCTGGACCTGGGAGAATGTGCTCCCAGACCCAGGAGAGTCACTGGAAGAGTTCATGTTGGTTCCACCGTCTCCTGCAGTGGCAACAGTGGCAAGCACGGGGTCTCAGAGGAAAGGAACTGCTCAGCCCAGGGCCTGTGGCTCGGCTGTGTCAGCGTCCGTGTGAGGGAGCGAGGGAGCATCCCGGCGCCTCTAGCAGCCCCACAAGTGTGGAAAAGATGCCCGGGCCCAGGGCAGGTATGCAAGAGAAGCGAGCTGGACAGGAGCACATGTGCAGGAGCACGCGCCTCTGACCGGCTCGAGCTCCAGGACGGCAGCCGCCGCCTTCTGAGAGGACTGTTGCTCTGCGTGGCCTCTCCCAAGAGACCGCACCTCCAGCTTGTGGCATGCAAGCTCGCTGCCCCAAGACGCTCCGGCTGCTCCGTCTGTGTGGACAATGGTGCTTCTCTGTCATTCAGCTTCGAGCTTGGCCCGCACGCTTGTGTCGGTAGGAGGAACAGGCAGTGTCAGGCTTGGGAGGGCTGCAGGCCCCGCGTGCTGCTTTTCATACTTCCTTGGCCAGAACGTGCCAGGGCCAGCCCTCCACCCACAGCAGGCGACAAGGCAGCAGCAAGCTGCCCTCGTGTTTGCCACCCGCCACATAAGCCGACCTGGTGGTCCTGCAGGTCTGTGACCAGTACCTCCTGCAGGCCACGAAGACTTTGTGCTCAACATTACCTAGCAGTAGTAAGCTACCGCAGGACATCGAAGGGCAGTGTGACAGGTCGGGAAGAAGTGACCTTCCCGCCCACTTGGGCAGACTGTGGCTGGGCCGCGCTTCCTGATGAAAGGTGCACCTGAGATTTGGGAGGAGGTTTGGGAGGAGGCACGGGGCAGGGGCTTGCACTGTGTGGCGGGCATGGGGCTCCTTGGGCACGGCCCTTTCTCTCCCCACGGAGCCTAGGTCACAGACAGGGCAGCGGCTCCGAGGTGCCCGTGTACTCAGCATGGTGGCCCCTCTTGTGTCACTCCGTGTAGGCAGAGGCTTGGCTTCCCAATCTCCAGCCTTCCCAAGGTGCTGGGCATCTGGCGGAAGCGGGGCGATGTTCTTCTAGACTGTCCACCTTGCCCGAGAGGCTGTCTCTCCCAGGCTCCCCCGCGCCTGGACCCTGCCCAGCTCCAGTTTCCATCGTGGGTTATTTTGCTGGCTTTGTTTCCTCGTGACAGGAGTTAGTGGAAGCAAACCACTTGTCGATAGCGCTGCTCCCTGCATACCTGTCGGCACACGCTGTAATAGGCTGCTAATCAAGCTGCTTCAAGGTTGGAAAGGTGAACGATTAAATGGGACAGATTTGGGGGCCGGGGAGATGGCTCAGTGGAATAAGCGCTTCCCTGGCAAGCGCAGGGGCCTGAGTTCAATCCCCAGTTCCATCAAATTTAAAAATAAATAAATAAAAAAAAAATAAAAAAATAAATGGGACAGATTTGAAG